GTGTGTGTGTGTGTGTGTGTGTGTGTGTGTGTGTGTGCGTGCGTGCTCGCGTGCGCGCGCGTGTGTGTGTGTGTGTGTGTGTGTGTGTGCGAGAGAGCTAGATAGAGTGTGCGTATGTTCGTTTTTGTGTTCGTGTGCGAGTGCGTGTACGTTGTGTGTGCGTGTACCTACGAATGATTAATCAATAATACCGAGAGTATATAATAATAATAATAATAATAATAAATGGTTCATATCATGACATATACAAATTCGCATGATATGATGATACACTTCTGATTATACTTTAATTACGCAGTTTGTCTGAAATTCATATTCACCCTTTCACCGTTCGAAGCTGTTTCCGTACACAAATCTATATATATCCATAATAACCTGTTATCTCATACAAATCCACTAACCTTGGCAAAAATATCCCAAATCAATGTTAATTAATCTACCAACCCGAATTGAATGCTCACTAATTAACTATACTTGAGTTGCGTATAATATGTGTAACTATCTACGATTATGCCTACGCACCATTATATCACAGTAATCAAGTAACACACTCCAACCTCCAGTACATGGAAGTCAATCTATTCACCCAACCCTCTTTCCCTGTACATTAATCCACCATTGCCTCTTTACTGACCATCTGCACCAATTCGCATCCACCAACATTCACGCGCGCACACCAATCGTGCGTCCCTACTCCCTACACGTAAGTCTCGATCTCCCACATCCACCCTTCTGTTCACCACTGCTACAAACTATTTACGGTCTCATGCCCTCCCCCCCTTCTGCACACTCGCGTCCCTCACATTAGCTTCTGCGTTTTTCCGTTATTTTTCTGAGATTTCCGTGGGACATGTACGGTAAAGTGGCGCAGCTAGCAGCAACGATCCACCGATGCTCCGGCGCCGTCCTACATCAATCACATCGAAGAATCGGCTCTCTCAACGAAGATGACGATGACGCGACACTTGCACGGTAATAATTATCAGTATTCGATTCCAGCGACCGAAAAATGGCGTGAATGATTTCTGCGTAATACGTTGTCATCTCAGTACACAAGCAAACGACTGTACTATACGCTCTGCACTATATAGATGCGATTTTACTCACAGCGGGACGCGTCAAGCCGCATACAGACGGTTTTAATTAAGCTAGATAAGCACTGATATTCTCCTGACTGATATTAATCTGCCGAGCAACACACACCACTCGATATCGGAGAACGACGTTCGCACACAGCAATAGCTTTACGAAAGTGCCGATCAGTCAGTTTTGTCTAGCCATTAAAAAACCGCTTGCTAAACACCACCTACGCCACGACAGATAGTATATATTCAACCGAACGATGGAATTTTGCTAATTTAATAGATTTTATCAGTACCGTGAGGTACTGTATGAATGAATACAAGTTGTCTCCAAGAGGCCTCTCTTATTCATGTTGTCTGTGCACAGGGCGGGCGTGCGGTGTACTTGTGTGTTGCAGATGAGCATTTGACCGGCATTTACAGCTAATTATCGGCAATAATAGGCGACATAGAGTAGAGAAACATTAAGACTTTGGTAGTAAATACATTTCGTGTATATTTACCTTTTTTATTGAGACGTTCCAAGTGCCTGTGTTTGCACCTAACTTCACTACGTACATGTACATCGTTGATTAATGTACATAGATATTTATTGCAACCAGCTACCTAATGTGTGCGAATTTAACATAGTTTGCGGTTCTACGTTATTACGGTTCTACGTTCATTTAAGAAAAAGTTGTTTTTTAATAAACAATACAATTATTGAAAAACTGAATTAAATATTTTTTAGAACCCTGTTGACATTGTTTATTATTGTATGCCCAAAAAGGCCTAGTATATATTACGCTCACCGACGGAGAAAGAGGGAGAAACTACATTTTGAGTTTTACAAGTTTCCTTGTATTTTATAATTATATAATTATATATATATATATATATATCAGGAGTTAATGAGACAAAATATGTCTCATTAACTCCTGATGAATATATAATATGATAATATATATATATATATATATATGTGTGTTGTGTGTGTGTGTGTGTGTGTGTGTGTGTGTGTGTGTGTGTGTGTGTGTGTGTCCGTGTGTGTGTCGGTGTGCGCGCCGCGCCGTGCGTGCTTTGTGTGTGTGTGTGTGTGTGTGTGTGTGTGTGTGTGTGTGTGTGTGTGTGTGTGTGTGTGTGTGTGTGTGTGTGATATAGGTATAACGGGGGTACTCAAGTGGATCTTCGTACTTCCCATTACTAAACGTGAATTTTCTATTCAACCAAAGACTAGGGGGATAAAGCACGCCCAGGCCAATTCAGACCGACATGACTATGCCATACAGCGTATGCATGACAATGATTGT